CTGGGGCCTGGGGGCACCAGGGCCGAGCCAGGAGGGCGGGGGCCCAGCCTGGAGCTGGAGAAGCGGCAGCTGGAGGAACGCATCGCCTGGCTCATCTCACACAACCAGGCCGTGGTGGACGACCCCCAGCTGGACCATGTGCGGCCCCGCAAGACGGTCCTGTCCAAGCAGGGCAGCATTGACCTGCCCATGCCCTACACCTACAAGGACTCCTTCCATTTCGAGATCCGGGCCCCGGAGCCCGTCCGGAGGAGGCACGGGGCCCTCTGCCCCACCCGCTCCACCTGCGTGGGCCTGGACAAGGCTCGGCCTCTCTTCTTCCACTCCGTCCCCACTCAGCTCTCCACCACCGTGGAATGTGTCCCTATCACCAGGAGCAACTCGCTGCCCTTTGTCGAGGGCCCCAGGATGTGGCAGGAGCCGAGGGACCCCCAGGACACCTGTCCTGGGAGGCAGAAGCCTCTAAGCCCCAGGTCTGCCCCTGCCCAACTGGTGGATGTCCCTAGCAGTCACCCCCGGGCCCTGGTCAGACAGGCTGCAGTGGAGGACCTGCCGGGCCCCCCGACTGGAGACACCGTGGCATCTACAGAGGACCCGGATGGAAAGAGAGCTGTGGCGGGGGAAGAGGCAACCATCAAGGGCAAAGCGGCCGGGAGGAAGCCCAGCCAGAGGAAGGCAAAGATGTTCTCCCAGGAGAAGTGGCAGGTGTATGGGAACGAGACCTTTCAGAGAATCTACCAGAAGATGCACGCAAGCCACCAGGGCAGCAGGAAGGCGAGGGAGTGGAGGGTGGGCCATGGCACAGAGCTGGGCCATCCTCTGCAGGAACAGGCAGTGGGGGGTGAGGGCGCAGCTCAGGCACAGATCAGAAGGACCCCTGTCTGTGGGGACACTTCTGTGGGGGCCAAGCCAGGGCCTTGGGGAAGTCCACCGGCCATGGAAGGCGTCTTAGTGATCGAGTGTCCCAAGCAGAGGGAGGCAGTGGCCAGAGCAGGAGGCAGTGACCAGCCCGGGGCAGGCAGGGTTACATCACCTCCCACCCTTAGCTGCGGAGCACCCCCGTGTCTGGGCAGCAAGAGCCCTGTGCTTCCTCCAAATGGGAGGCTGGAACTGGGGTGTCAGCTACCCTCAGCACCTGGCCCCCTCAAAGGTGGGGACCTAGAAGTTCCCAAGTTGGTTTTGCCACACCCCAAGCTGGAAGGAGGCACCCAGGGTGGCGGGGACACAAAGGAACCCTGTCAGCAGGACCAAATCATCCCAAGAAGGCCCAGTGGTAGCTTTGGGGAGCCCCAGTCTGTGGAGGACAAGCTGCCCTCGGAGAGGAAGAAGCTGAGGGTGGAGGAGCTGAGCTGTCCCGAGCATTCGGGGCCTCTGGGAGCAAGAGGCCAGAACCCAGGGGGCCCGGCTCAGGCCACCTCCCTGCCATCCCAGAACCAGGACAGTGACTCTGGGGACAGGCCAGGGGGGCTGTACAGGAGTGCTGACTGCATGGAGACGTCTGGCGCACCTTTCTCTACTTGCTCGGTGGCTCTGAGGCCGGCAGGGCCAAGGGCCAAGGAGCCTGTACTTGGTCCTGCAGCTGAAGCCCCTGGGTCTCAGGCCCAGCCGGCCGCCCAGCCTCGGGCTCCCAGTGTCCTGGAGGCCCTGACAGACACTGCCTTCCCCCCCAAGTACCTGCTCAGGTTACCGAAGGGAGAGACCCTTCTGCCACGGCAAGGCCAGGACCCTCTCTGCGGGAGCGGGCTGCCTGAGGAACTGGACTCCTCTGCTGGGCCAGGGCTAGGGACCCTCCTCCCTCCCCACCCAGCCACAGGCCTGGCCCCGGGGAGAGACGACAACTTTGGCGAGGGTCCCAGCTGGTCCAGGCCGTGGGGCAGGAGAAAGGAAGTACCGGGAGAAGAGAAGAGAGCCTTGGACACCAGCACCTCGGCAGCCAAGGAGTCTCACCGCTGGAGCGCTGGGGCCCCCAGGGAGACAGCCCCCGCCCTGCCCACCCCACCCTGTGACTCCTGGAGGAGGGAGACCAGTGGCACGTGGGCGGGAGCCCGGCCCTGTGGGGGTGTCCTGAGTCCCTGGGCACTCAACAGGGACACGGAGGGGCCTCCTGAGAATGCCCAGGAAGACCCTCCTCCAGGACCCCTGGCAGGACACAGTCCCTGCTGCTCCCTTCGGCCCAGCCCCGCCCTCTCGGCCCTCCCGCCCAGGGGCTGGCCCGAGCTCACCGCAAGCACCCATCCAGGGAGTCCCGGCTGCTGCGGGCCCCAGGGCCCCTTCCCCTCGCTGAGGGCCGAGCCCCGGCTCACCTGGTGTTGCCTGAGCCGCAGCGTGCCTCTGCCCACGGAGCAGAAGGAGAAGGCCGCCTCCGTGTACTGGGCGCTGCACGGCCCTGGGGGCAGCGCCCGGGACCAGGGTGCGGGTGCCCAGCCAGTGAGCAAGGCAGTGTCGGGACCATGGACCGGGACCAGCCCAGCAGAAGGAGGGGAGGCGCAGCCATGGAAGGTAACACAGCGCTGCCGGGCCCCGGGCTGAGGGAGCTGGCTCCGCAGGTAGGATGCTCCCTGATGGGTGGGAAGCACGAAACAGTCCCGTGGCGTCTGCTGTGCATTAGAGCATCTTCCCAGCCTGTCCCCCAGGGGAGTGGGGCTGCCACATACAGGGCAGGAGAGATTAAAGGCCCAAAAGGACATCATGAAAACATGTTTCAACGGAGGAATTACTATACCCAAGACTCTGGGTGAGGTATTTTCCTAACTAGACACAGAATTTAACTCTGAGCTTCCTGGTAACAGAGGCAAAAAGTGAAATGAATGCTGCCTAGGAGGCTTCTCTGGGTCATCTGAGATTATAAGCCTGGCAGGCTGTTCTCCCAGGTGGGGGGGGCCGGAGGGGGCGGTAGCACCATCTTCATCCGGAGACTGGTGGTTAATAAAGAAGGCACTGGGCCTGAGAGAGGGGTGTTCAAGGTCTGGGGTAGCCCTCCTCCAACAAAGGCAGCAAGCTGTTGAGTGTGGGGGTTCCTGGAGAGGGAGGGTTGGAGGGTGGAGAAGGACTGGCCACGCTGTTCACTAGGCCTCCAGTTAACTCCAAACATCTGGCCTTTCCTCTGTGGATCCAGCCCAGGCAGTTCCAGAAGGTTCCTCCCGGGAATGCTTAGATCGTTTGGCGATGCAGCATTTCCGTGCCTTGATTTCCCCAGATAGCCATCCTGTCTGCAGAGAGAGATCGCTTCTGTGTTGTCCCCACCATGAGGCTTTGAGCAATACGATGCCAACATGCCTGGTATTTTCAGCTCTCCTACCCAACAGCCCCAGGGATGACGTCCCGGGACCCGGGGCCCGAGCCAGGGTGGAAGAGAGGACTGCCTCGGAGGAGGNGTATTTTCAGCTCTCCTACCCAACAGCCCCAGGGATGACGTCCCGGGACCCGGGGCCCGAGCCAGGGTGGAAGAGAGGACCGCCTCGGAGGAGGGCGAAGATGCCCCGTGGGAGCAGCAAGCAGAAGAAACTGAGAAGGTAGGTGTCTGGCCACCGCTGTCCTTTCTGCGTGTGCCTGTTGGGTTGGTAACTACAGACCGAGGTCTCACTGAACCCCAGGAAAGTCTTCACACGGGGTTCAAAAGGCATCTCTGTGCTCCAGAGAAAGGGCTCCTGCTTCGGGACCTGGGTCTGGAGTTTCACGGTCAAAGGACTGAGCCTGTCCCCCTGGGTGCACCCTGCATGGCCCCTCTAGCTGTGTAGTTTTCAGTGGCACCTTTCTATGGCCAGGGATCCAGCGAATATTTGAAATAACAGAGTTGGAAACACATCCATCCAGTTTAAGTCCTGAAGAGAGAGTGTGTTAATTATTTACAGCTCTTATTGCTTTTTTAATTATGCAAATGATGCATGTCCTTTGCAGAAAAATTAGAAGAAGCAGATGAGCAAAGAGAAGACAATAAACATCCTAGTAGCCTCCCACCAGAGGTGTCAGCGCTGGCATTAGGTGCGTGCCCTTCCAGACTTTCCTCTGCAGTGTGTGCGAGCACCTAGTATCCGGCGACACGCGGGGGCATTTGGACTTTAATGTCATTCTTTGATTGTCTTGCTCCTGTGCTCATAACTCTTTGGGCTGCCAACGGCATACAAGTTATAAAGCAAACTCTTTATCCAGGCCCTGCCCTCTCCAGGTCCCCATGAAGATTTCTGTCTCCTTTCCCCACAGTCTCCTCCTTTCCAACTGAGGTGACTTGGTGCTGTGTCCCTGGCCCGCTCCCACGTGTCTGAGACCCTCCAGCCTCCCCTTGCACCCCGGGGACAGCCTCCCCCCACGACAGTCAGTGTCTGATCCGAAGCCTGGATGTGCTTCGAGAGGCAGCGCAGATTCCTGCGCCAACCCTGCAGCTGCCCAGCCCTCGCTGGCTGCAGGTGATGCCCCCCGAGGCCCCAGCCCCTGTGCTAATTGTCCGCCTGGACTGGTGTCCAGAGCTGCCTCCCCCAGGGCTGCTCTGTGGGGCGCCGCACCTGCCTCTCCACCCTTCTCAGGAGGGGACCGAGACGCGAGAGGCAGGCGACCTCCCCAGGGACCAGGCTTTGCACCAAGTCTTGCTCCAGCGCCTCTGTGCCATACAGCGGCTTAGCCCGGGTCCCCCTGCCCGCAGTAGGCATCAGATTTGCCTGGAGTTTTCTGGAGTTTTCCTGTGATGCCGGGTGGAATTCGGTGGGTCTGGGGTGGGCCTGCGAGCCTGCTTTCCTATCATCCTTGGTGAGGCTGAGCTGGGGCGGGCCTGCGAGCCTGCTTTCCTATCATCCTTGGTGAGGCTGAGCTGGGGCGGGCCTGCGAGCCTGCTTTCCTATCATCCTTGGTGAGGCTGAGCTGGGGCGGGCCTGCGAGCCTGCTTTCCTATCATCCTTGGTGAGGCTGAGCTGGGGCGGGCCTGCGAGCCTGCTTTCCTATCATCCTTGGTGAGGCTGAGCTTGCTGGCTCAGGGAGCCTCCTGGAGGAGCGATGCCTTGTTCTGCCCCAAACCGCATCCCATCCTTCCCTCGCCCATCATTGCCCGTCATCTCTCTGACCCAACCCTTCGCGGCTTCTTTCCTTTTTAAAGACTCGGGTGTTACATGGGGCTCACCCCAATAATCTCATCACCTTACCATACCCACAATTACACCTGCGAAGCCCTTTTTGCCATGAAGGTAACATACTCACAAGTTACCTTGGGGATTAGGGGCTGGGCATCACTGCCTGCCACCCTGTCCGTCCACCCTCCATGCACCCACCGAACACACACCACTGTGTACATGCATATGTGTCTTGGCTTAGATGCCCCCCTCCCCGCATCGGTTTGCGGCCTCTCTGCCCCCCTGTCAGCCTGGGCGCCCTCTCCCGGAAAGGAGCCCAACGCTTCTCTTCATTTCCCATTTCACCTGAGTTGTCTTAACGAGCTACAGCAAATGAAATCCTGTAGCCGAGGTGCGCCCCCCCACCCCCAGGCCCTAGCTCACAGAGGATGGCGAGATTCATGTATTAGAGTATCCATTCTTTCTCTCTTGTTTTGAAAAATAAAACATTAAAAAATACATGAAAGATCAGAAAATATATAACAGACTTCTGGGTAATGATCCAGAATGAACAAATATTAACATTTTATCTTATTTGCTTCTGAGCCTTTAAAAAATAAAACACATAAACTGTTACTTTTTATATTATGTGTTATGCAAAATAAAATAAATATAACACAAAAAATAATTATGTAGTTTTATGTATTTGGCACTAATTGTTTCAAACCATGCTTTCATACTTTGCAAATCGACGTAACCACTAATAATATATAATAATACTGATTTCTGTCTTTAAAATATGTACGTAAATATCACGCTAAATTTACGCTTCTCCAGTCTGAGTTTTTATTTTTTAATCCTCACTTGAGGATACTTTTTCCATTGCTTCTCAGAGAGAGTGTAAGGGGGGCGGGAGGAGAGAAACATCGATATGAGAGACACGTCGATTGGTTGCCTCCTGCACTCGCCCCAGCTGTGGCCGGGGATCGAGCCTGCAACCAAGGTATGTGCCCTTGGCTGGAATTGAACCCAGGACCCTTCAGTTCTCAGGCTGACACTAACTACTGAGCCAAACCAGCCAGGGCTCCAGTCTGACTTTTAAACTCAATGTCATGTTTCTAAAGATCTGGCTATGTTGTTACATACAGATCAAATTAATTCCCTTCATTGCCGTGGAGTGTTCATCCCACAAGTATAACACAATTTATTTTCTATTCCCTTATTTAGAGTCATTTAATTTATTTCCAAAATTTTTTGCCTTATTTTGCAATGTGCATGGGTATACATGACTCCTTAGGCACGGTGCGAGAGACGTGTTCTAAGAAATACACCTGAAAGTGGACTTGCTAGATAAGATGATGACACTCCGAACCCTTCGAGTTATTAGCAAGTCCCCCTGCACAGTGGCCCTGTCTGTCCACATTTCCTCCGCTGGAGCAAGAGGCGGCCCTGCACCCATATTCTCACTGACACGTGTTACGAGCAGGTTTTTAGGTGTTTCGCCCATCCACAGTTTATGGGATTCTGTACATATTCCAGATTCGCCTATATTCTTCGCCTGCTATATCTGCTGCAAATATTTCCAAGTCTGCTGTTTGTGTGTCCGAGCCATTCCCCCCCACGTCCCCCCTCGCTGCAGGCATCTTGCATCGTAATTCTTCCCCACAGCAGCCCTTCCTTCTGGGGTCGCTTTCTTCCGTCTAAGCATATTCTTGAGAATTTCCTTTCGAGACAAATCTCATTTAAAAAAATCAGTCTGATAATACGTTTATTTCTAAAATACCCTGTTGAGAAATGTTTCTGCTGTTATCAGTCCTAGGCCGGCCTCTTCTCCAGCATGTAAAGCTGCTACCTTGCTCTCCTGTGGCCTCTCTGCCTTGTGGTGGGGAAGGCAGCTCTTAGTCCACTTATCTGTCCTCGGAAGGTCTTTTATCTCTGGCTACTTTCCAGGCCTCCTTTTAATCTTTGGTGTTCCGCACTTTTCCTCCGATGTAGAGAGGGATGCGTTACTTTTACTCATTCCGTTAGGAATCCATTGGGTTTTATGACTATGGATTGATGTGTACCTAGAAAATTCTCAGGCCTCACTCCTCGAACAATGCCTCTGCCGTGTCCTCTGTCTTTTCGTTCTGGAAACTGAAGCAATGTATCACAGATGTTCTGGGTCTTCCGCTTCCTTAACTTCTANACTCCTCGAACAATGCCTCTGCCGTGTCCTCTGTCTTTTCGTTCTGGAAACTGAAGCAATGTATCACAGATGTTCTGGGTCTTCCACTTCCTTAACTTCTATTTTCAATAACTTTGTCTCTCTGTGCTATCATCTCAATACTTGGTTCAGATCTATCATTAAGATTTTACTAATTAACTTAATCCACTGACTTATTTTTTGAAAAGCTCTGTTGAGGTACATTGAATTTCAATACAGTGCACATTTAAAGTATGCAACTTAACAAGTTTTTGACATCTGTGCACAACTGGCTTGTTCTCGGATTTTGGAGGTGAGCTGAGATTTTTGGAACTTTGAGGCTTGGGTTGGAGGTGGGGTTCTTCAGTGGTTTCACATATGTGAAACCAACACCATGAGGGTAATGAATGTCTCCATATCCCCAAAGTTTCCACGTGCCCTATTGTGATTCCTGCCTCTTGCCCATCTGCCGCTCTCCCATCCCCAGGTAACCACTGATGTGCCCTCTGTCACTACAGTTCAGTTCACTTCTTCTAGAATCTTATAGAAATAGAATCATACAATTTGTGTTCTGTTTCTTTTGGGGGGGGTGGATTTTTTCAGTCAGCATGACTATTTCGAGGTCCATTCATGTTGTGTGTATGAATAGTTCATTCCTTTACTTGCTAAGTAGATATATCAGAATTTGGATATCTATTCACTTGTCAATAGACATTTGGTTTGTTTCAGTTTGGGGCTGATACAAATAAAAACGATGATAACTATTTCTCTACATGTCTTTGTATGGATATATGCTTTCAATTTTCTTGGGTACAAACCTAACGGTAGGATGGATGGATCATATGGTAGGTGCATAACTGAATTTTTAAGAAGCTTCCAAACTATTTTCCAAAGTGGCTGTATTGTTTTTCAGCTCTCCTAGCAGGGCAGAGGGCGTCCGTTTCCCACACCCTTGTCAGCACTTAGTGTGGCCATTCTTTTAGATCTTTACTCGGATTTTCATCTTTTCAAAAACTACACTTGCTAGTTTGCATCTGACGACGCCCACCGGGGAGGTGGCGGCGCCTGGCCTGCCCGTGTCCCGCGCTGGCCTCGCTAAGGGAGCTGGCGTCCGGGCTTGTTCTCAGATTTTGGAGGTGAGCTGAGATTCTGGAACTTTGAGGCTTGGGTTGGAGGTGGGGTTCTTCAGTGGTGACATGTTTCACTTCTGCTGGGAGCCTGGGGGCACCCTCTGGTCACTTACTTTAAGTAAAAGCCTTGGTTTTAGGTTTCCTCATGCCACTGAGTAGTGGATTAAAATTGCAAACCCCGGAGAAGATGGTCTGATTGTTAGGAAATCAGCAGGAGAGACTTTTCTGCCTCCTCCCTCAGTGAGAAGGTTGGCGTTCTGATGTCCCCGGGGCAGGTGGCAGCCGAAGGTGCATTCTTTCTGATTCACCCGTATGCTGAGGGCGTGACCGCCTGAGGTGTCAGCTTGTGTGGGAGTGGAGGTTGACTCTCCCACTGGACTCTCACCTGGGACGGGGTCTGGGTTTGAATCCTGCGCCCCACACCCCAGCCCACCATGCAAATGAAAGACCAAACTCACCTCAAATGCCCCCAAAATGAAAAAAGCTCTCTTTCCTTCTCAGGTTTTAGTTTTCACTGTGTTTTTTTTACTTTAAGTGTATCTTACCTTCTAATCAGAACACCAATACATTTCAGTGTGTTAAACATTTTTACATTTTGACTGCATTTGAGTTGCACTCAGGGCGAGGGTGGGTGTGGCGGTCGTCACTCAGGGAACTGCTGGCCGGAAGGCTTCCGAGTTTCTACCCATGTTTATGATTCTCTTGTAGTCAAGAAGTGATCATTTTGATGTAGGCAAGTGGAGCTCCCTTTTCCTTTATAATGATTACTTTTTGGTCTTGTTTAAGAAATCAATCCTTACTCTCAATCACAAATGCAAAAATATATCCTTTTATGTTCTCCCTGTGTAATGTGAGGAAGGATTTATTTTGTCCCTATAAAAAACTGTGCATGGGTAAATTTGGCTTTTGACCTGTTTTTGTATGCCCTTGTGAGCTAGGCCTTGTGGCATCTTTACATTTTGAAAGGACACACACACACACACACTCATATATGTATACTCATATATATGTATAAAGAATATGTGTCAGAGAGTGTATGAGGCTTGCAAAGTCTAAAATATTTATGATATTTATTATCTGGCCCTTTATACAAAAAGCTGGTGGACTCCTGGATTAAGCACTTTTTTTTCCCTGCTTATTTGAGATATTTTAACTCCCCGTTTATACTTGGAGTTTCTTGGGGGGCCCTCCATTCTATTTCATCTGTCTCTTTGTTGTCAACTCCAAATACCACACTGTCATGAAAATGGCTGTTTTCATGAATGAAAGTACCTGAGTCGAAGGAGAGGAGTGGAACACACGCTACATTTTCAGAGGGGACCTGGGAA